TAGCACTGTTTTTGAGCTCTCCAGCTATCAGTCTTTAAGTACATATCTGTAAAAATCTGTTTTTCTGAGTGAACAATCTAGAGAAAGTGTTGTTGTTAGTGTTACTTTGATGTTTCAGTAACAGCCTTCGATGATGCCTTCCATATGTCATCAGAACCTGTGCTTACTGCAGGTGGCCAAAACCAAAAATTTTAACAGCTTTTAATTGTTTTCAAAGCAGTTGTTATTACTGTTTTGTATCATATTTCCAATCATGATACAGATGTTGTTTTTGTAACTACTAGTTCTTTTGATGCATTAGAGCTTGTTGCTGAAGCTATTTTATATGTAAGCCAAATTGCTATGAAAACTTACACTGTAAAACTTGGTAATGAATATGAGACTGTGGAGGTAAACAAGCTTTATTTAAAACAATAAATTAATGCATGTAATTTTCTCTCCTTTCTCTCCTTTCTCTCTTCTGTCCCTCCTTCCTTATCCTTTCCTTAATATTTAAGAAAAAAAATGCAGCCTACTTTTTATAATCGGTTTTAGTATTGAGTAAACTTACGTGGTTTAAAGAATTAGTTTTGTCTGCAAATTCTCCCTTCTAAAGCAATGGTATCGTAGTTGAGTCAAGTCATAGTTGAACATGTCTATTGAATTTCTTTATAAAGCATCTCATGTGCAGCCTTCCTAGTATTATATTGATACAATCTCTACTTTTTTCCTTCTGAAGACTTGAGTTATTTTTAATGGGGTTCAGTAGATCACAGAGCTCCAGAGCAGGAGTTCACTCTCCACTCCTGCACATCGACTTTCTTTTTATATAACTGGTATCGAACATCTCTAAGTGCTCCTAAGTGGAGGAACATCAGTGCAGCAGATCTATAGTGGATTATTATTGCAGTCATAATATTGAAATAAAGTATTTATGTAGGCTGCATGGGTAGTATTGTGCTCCTGTAATCAGATTTACTGATGGCTCAATGCAGGTGACTGATCAGTAGATGAGATTTACCGGGAGGTGCAGCGGTTGGCTGAACTGCTCGCGTGGCCCGTCCTGGCTTTTCTCTTTGCCCAGCAGCGACCCTGTGAATGAGGGTCCCTTGGGGGAGCAGTGGTGACTCTTAGAGCAGGCTGCTGTTAACTTGTTGTTCTGCAAAGCCAGGACTTTCCCAGGAGTGGATGGAGGATAAAAGGTATGGCTCCTCTTCAGGAGGATCAGTACCTTTGAGGGCTTTTCTTAACAAATGTTAGTAACACTTGTGTTAAACAGGGGCTACTAGCCCTGGGAAGGGCTATGCCCCTTCTCTTTTCCTGTCGGAGACTGTTTGAGAAAGTTGAATATTCTGGGCTGTAGGAAAAGCATCGGGGTCTTGACAGGTGATAGTGCTCCTCATTTCTTCCCTTTTTGGTTTCTGTGATTTTGATGTCAGTAGAGTTCTGTTACTGTGCTGGTACTTCTGGTGTGTGTGCACGTGAAGCGAAACGTCCGGCCCACTGAAAGAAGCTTCAGGCTGGTTGTAGGCCGCAAGCATGGTTAGTTATGGCATGGCCAGGCATTAATTCACCTACAGGAGCTCAGCTGGCAGGGGGCAGTTGTTACACTGACATAACCCGATTTTGTCTCACCAAACTCGGTCTTCCTTTCGACTCTTTGTAGCAAGCTTCTCTTTCGCAGACTTTTTTCCTACCAATTTTAAGCTGTGATATTTCCTCTTTCTGTGAGAGTGACAGAGCCCTGGAACAGGCTGCCCAGAGAGGTTGTGGAGTCTCCTTCACTGGAGATCTCCCAAACCCGCCTGGACACAACCCTGTGCCACGTGCTCTAGGTGACCCTGCTGGAGCAGGGGTTTGGACTAGATGATCCCTCTGGAGGTGTCTTCCAACCTCAACCATTCTGTGATTCTGTGCCTAGAGGCCCTTTGGGCCTGCTTTTGGATCACGTTTTGCTAACATTTGTAATTCATATGAATTTCATAACAGTCCTAACATAGCAAACATTGACACCATTCTTTTCACTGGTTTTACTGAGTATGGTAAGGCCTTGTTACCCATGCAGTGGTCCTGGAAAAGGCCCTTTTGTGATCTCTTACTTTGCTGGCTGGTGGAGTCCCTCAGCAGTTTCTACGTTATTTTACTGTGTCGGGTTCAGTCTGCTATGCTTAGTTTCAGGGATGCTTGTTATTCATTGCCAACATGTTGACTCTGGCATCCGGCCCTTTCTGTTAGTTTGCACTAAAATATCTTAGTGCTTTTCTTTCTTACTTTTTTCCTCTCCTTCAGTGAGAACATGTGTTCTGCTAGGCTGCTGCATGTGTTTGAGAAGAGTTTTTTGCTCATCTACCCTGTGGTCCTTCCTGAAACTCTGTTTTAACATTCTTACTGCAAAGATCAGAGAAGCTTTATGAATGTAATTCAGGTGTGTTACACACATCTTGATGATTAGAGTGTCTTTTCTTTCCCATTTTCTCTTTCATCTGGTTCCCTGGATTATATTGAATACAACACAAACAAATTGCACATATTTTGCAAATTTAGATGTTAGCACTTAAGCAACTTTTACGCTTAGCTTTAGTAAGCAACTTTTAAAAACATGTACTGAGGGAGGAAGTTTCCTTGACTAAATATATGCCTTTTAGTGAAAGAGGCTCCATAGTTGGTTGAGACTGCAGTACTGTAATGTAAGCAACCAGGGATAGTTAGGAAAAGGATTTTCTTTTTGATGGTACTCTGCAGATCTAGAGCAGCTAAAGTTCAGGTCTGCTTAATAGAGAAAAAGCAGAAGTGAAAGGTCTTTTTAGCTGCATTTAACTGAATTAGCGTCATGCTTTTGTTAGTGTTGAAACCTGTGTTTTTTGCTAGATTTTCAGGCAGCATTATATCTGTATGCACAGGCTTCATTAGGTGTCTGTATACATTCTAAGCTGTTAGCTGTGAAGTATTTCCTTGGTGATGATTGCATTGGATTAAATTTACTGCTTTTATGAAGCAAAAGGTTTTAATTTCTAACCTCTAATGGCAAAATCTTTTTTCTTTTTTAATAATATCTGTCATGGCTACTTTTTAATATTTAATGTAAATTGTAACAGATTTAGAAGATGTATCTAGAAGTATAATATCTTAATGTTGTCTTTGCAGGTACATGATGCTGATTGATGGCAAAAATGAAGTTTACATGATTGATAGAGATAACTCAATTTTTCATGTATCTAATTTGGAATTTCCATTTCGTAAAGATCTACGCAGTCATCTAGCAAATACTCTTCTAGATGGGGTAAGGAGCATACAGTACTTAATACTTTTAGTGCTATTTTCCCCAGTCAGAAACTGGGCCAAATTTTAGTAAATTATGAGTTTTAGGAGTCATAGATTCGTTCACTGTCTGCATATGGGAAACTCACTGTTTGCAAGTGACATTTCTTACATTTAGAATAGCAGTGTTGGCTGCTCTGGGGGGAGCTGTTTACTCGTCTCTAAAGTAAATCAGTGTATTGAGATGTTGGATATGTCCTGAAGAGAATCTAAAGAAATAGCAAGAAATGAGGTTCTATACTTACATTGTTATATTTTGATATTATGAGCATAGTCAATATATAATCTAAATTTGATAAGCTTCTTGTAGTCTTTTGATATACTTCACTTAATTGATATTTTTGCTTTCATCATCTTTATTTTCAGCTGATCCTGAACTGTTGACTGCAATTTAGAAAGTGTTTGGTTACATTTCACAGAATCACAGAATGGTTGAGGTTGGAAGACACCTCCAGAGAGATCCGCATTTCTTTAAGACTAGCACTTTTGGAAGTAGCGAGTTTATACAGATTTGTGAAACAAGGTGTAAATGGATGTGTTTATTGTTTAAAGACTGTCCTGAAGTGCTTATTGCTACTTGCTTTTCAGAACAGCAACCACGAGAGGATATTCGTTGCTCTTGACCCTTTCTATTTCAGCCACAGGACTTCATTAGCTCTTATACTAAATATGTGTCAGGGTAGGTGAATGTTGGTTGCCATTCTGTTTCCTTAGTGCTGGAGTCACTCAACCTGTCTGTGTCACCCTTGCTGCAGTGCTGAGTACCTGAGATCTTCCACCTCAGTCTTCTGAAGTCCAATGCACCTTTCAGACATGGAAATCCATGCTGTCATCATCATTATTTTCTTTTGTTTCCGGGACCTTTGTTGTCAGTGTCCTTCTTGAAAGGGAATGGGAATTCCTAATCCGCCCCACTGACCAGTATTTACACCCGAAGCAGGAATAAATCAAATCTGTGAGGAGAATTAGTGCAAGGAAGAGCAAACCTTGTCAGAGACAGCGAAGCAGATAATGCAACACTTTCCACCAGTGTTCTTCACTGAAAGATTAAGAGCCTGATCCAATAAACGAGAGGTTCACAGACCAAAAATGGTTGCAGAGCTGCATGTCTGATAGGAACCTCTTCAGCCAGACAGCTTCTTAATGATGTACTTAAAATTATTAATGACATACATTAGATTCCATACTGTTGAGATAAGTCTGGTACTATTCTTCGTCTTTCTGCTATTTCTAAAGCTCTTGAGGAAAAAATAATGGTTTGCCAACGTCTATAAACTGCAAACCTATTTTGTTGAAGCCACATAGGAAGCATTCATCCTATCCATGTTCTGGATGGTAGTACGGCAAAGTCTGAAGCTGCTGTATAGAATCTCTTGCTGAAGTTGCCTGTAGTCAGTGCAGAGAGTGTTCAGTGATGGAGCCCTTCTGGGCCGCGAGATTGCCCGGGTGAGTGTGCTGTCAGGCCTTGCCCTGGAGCCTGCACTGACTTTATATGGCTTGTGAGAGGACAGCAGGAAGAGTTGGGTTTGTTTGGGCTTTTGACTTCTGTTTTCCTTTGCAGTTATTCTTTTTTCTCTCTCTCTTGTAGCTGTGTTGGTTGTACTGAAGGAAGAATTGTTGACTTAGTGTTTACTGTGGGGTGTTCCTATAACCTTGCAGTGAAGCATGAGAAAAATGTGAGCTTGTTCTTTTGTAAGTAGCACTGGCCATGGCAGTGAAATGATTTTAGTGCTATCAAAACAAACTGGCTTTGTGCCTTAAACTTCATGCAGTTTTTTACTGCATGGAAGAACAAAAGATGGACTAAAACCAGGCCAACTAACTTGATGCTACTTGTTCCTGAGGGGGCTTCAGAAAGGGCTATCCCAGACAGCTAGCTAATATATCGTTGATAACATAGATAACTTATCATAGATAACATCGTTATAGTTGCCTACTGTACCAGTACTGCAGGATTTATAAACAAAATCTAAACTGGATTATATTTTTACGAGCAGCTAAACTTGTTGCAGTGTCAGGTGGCTGAGATCACGTGAATAGGCTTTAAGCTGGTGGTGTTCTTTTACAAGGAACAGAGCATTTTTTCAGATTTATGAGGATTCTTTAGTCATGATGGGTTAACAGGATGAAGCAAGTTAATCGATATAGGCAAGGTCTATGAAATAGCTGTGGTGTGTGAGTTGCCTGGAGAGGAAAGGGAGACCAAAGTAAGTTTTGTATAAAAAGTGAAATGTAAGGGAGAGAACTTGAGGTGCCCAATACCAGTGGATGGAAGAGGTCTGTACGAACAGCAAGAGTCATCTTGCTGATAACGATCAGAGTTAATTGCAGAATAGTGTGCTCCCTTTTAGGACCTGAGTATAGGCAAGGCCTTAACTTTGTCAGGGAGGAAGCTACTGAACTGGCCTTCCTAAGAGGAAAATGTCACTGCCAGACTGCCACTGCAGGAGATAATCGAGGCGCGTAAGTTGGGGAAAGATGAGAGAAATGCTTTGGCCCATGACACTTTTAAGAATGCAAGGCTTACTGTGCCATGCCTGCTGTATCATTATGACCTTGAAGCAGTGGGGGAATAAGTTTTAAAGTATGTCCTGTCCTTACAGTGCCTTTCTTTTAATGGGTACTGTGACCTGTGAGCATCTCTAGCCCGGAAAGTGATTGAGAGCTTTATTGAAAAAGAACACTTGAGAAAGCAAAAGTTAGCCAGAAAATCGGGGTGTTCTGATCTGGTGATTTTGGAGGACAGTATCTCCCAGTTTTATAGTTTCTGAAGACTCTTAAGAGTAGATGAAGCTGGAAGAACTTAGTTACTGATTGTGTCAAAGTGTCTGTTGCCCAGGACATGAACTATGATTTCATCTGATCTGTTGTAAAAGTTTGACTGTTAGCGTTCGTCATAGTATCTCACTTTATTGGCATGAAGTTAGTCTTAGAGTGAACTTTATAAGTATGTGTGTGTGTTCTTTTTTTGGGGGGGTTTGTTTGTTTGTTTTTCTGTTTGTTTGTTTTCCAATGAAGTGAAAAGCAAAGTAGAATGAAATGAACAAGTCTTGTTTGAATGAAGTACTTTGAGATAAAGCTAAAACATTTCTATGCATAATTCAGGTTTTTAAATTTAAGTACGATGAATTAAAAGAAAAAAAAGTTGATGATGGTATTTACTGAGTGTTCAAAAATTCTTGCCAACATGTTTGAAAGTAGAACTTGCCTGTTCGAAGCATCACAGCAGCTAAGCTGAGTAATTAAATGTTTCCTTAAAGTTAGTACCAAAAGATCATTTCCATTACAGTTCCTTTACTCTGGATATAGGTGTATAATTGCTTTCTTTTTTAAATCCATTGGAAGAAAATTCTGGCTTTTTTGCATTAATGTTTTTTTGCTAATTAGTACTGAAGGGTTGAAATTAATGCTTGAATTACACATAGAAGTAGTTCACAGTATTACCCTTGAAGTAGCTCTTCTGCTTCAAAGAATGAATGTGTAGAACGAGGCTGCTCAAGTAGCACTGCTTGATATTAACCTTACCAAGTCTGTAGCTAATATCAGTGTGTTGGAGAGACAAAACAGACCTATCCTGCCTGTTGCTGCCATGCAGTGAAACAGCTACTTGTTTTAAGGATATGAAAGATTAAATAACATCTCCACCCCGCCCCAACCTTTACCTAAATTGACAATGTATAAAACTTCCATAAGGGCGATTTCTGTAATTTCAGTTTCCTATTAACTTCAGTGCTTGTGCTGGAAGCCTTTCATGTCGTTGTCTTTGAGATTCTTAGATATATGTATGGTTGCTTCAGGCTGAGATTCCTTGCAAATATTTCTTAGTGTGATTAATAGCATCCGAGTTGGTAAGAGATCACCTGGAAGGCTCCTTGCTCATCTCCAGCTTTCCAGTCATAACTGTTCTTTGGAATTGAGGACAGGTTTCTGCAAAGCTCGTCAGGGCTAATTTGAACATTACCCAGAGGTGACTACATTTCCTACCCTCACTTCCCCACTACCTTAGAAGCCAAGTGTTTTGCTGCATCCCTACTACCACCTAAGGAAATGGAAAGATTTTTGTTTAAATTTTTTGGCTGTCTTGTAAGAAAATGAATTAGTTCTTTTCAGGAACTTTCATGGCATTCTACTTATCACGGGAGCAATGGAGTAAAAGATGGAGAAGTGCCCTTAGACTTGAAATATTTTGTTCTTTTGATTTGCTGTTTTAAGATTTGTGTGAACAAGGACTTGTAAGTTTATTGTAAATAAAAAGCATCTAAGTATACAAAAACGTTCTTACATCTATTCTGATGAACTGTAATCTTTGAGCTGCCAGGATGGTCCTTTCGTTTCGCAAGCGAAACTAGCTGTTCGCCATGTCTGTGAGCAATACATCTGGCCTTCAGAGCAGCTCACAAGGATGGCAGAACATCCAATAAAATTCAGCTGGGTGAGGGTTTCCTTAGTAACCCCACACTATAAGAAAACAGATGCATTTCTGTTCTTCAAGCAATTAAGGCTGTCAAATTTTATTACTTAATTTTGAAAGCAGCAAAAGTGAGATAGGCGCTGTGTTCTCTCGCTCCCTGCTTTCGGAGCCCGGTCTTCAAGCGGCAAAGAGCTGCTGGGCAGTAGCAGCCACTCTGCCTGGGTCGCGCTTGTGCTGGAGGACCCTGGACTCTCCTGGAGCTCCGATTTAACCTACCGGGCACGTGAGCACAGAGCGAGGCCCATGCTGCTCTGACAGATGCTGAGGAGCTGCAGTTACCGTAGGGTAAGAACTTGCCGTGTGGGGACCTTTTTCTTCCTCTTTCTTTTTTTTTAAATCAATGTAGAACTCACTTATTTGTAAGTTCTGCGGGAAAGGGTGTTATTTATAGCCTTGTGAGCTTGCAAAGACTGGCACTTTCTACAATATAATTTTTTTTTTCTTTTTTCATTTCTGAAATATAGCGGCAGCTAAAATTATGTTGAAGGTAAAAAGTTAGAAGAAAGGCAAGGGACAGGAGGGGAAAGGCACAATAAAAAAGTGTGATTAGATCTGATGTCATACTCTCTCAGCTAAAAATACATTCTTCAAGTTGCTGGTAAAATAAGATCCTTTGATTTGTGATTAAATTTTGGATTATTTTCAAGTCCAAGCTGTTTGTTATATGCGTGATTCAAAAGAAAAAAAAAATTGTCCCCGAGCTGTCACTGCGGTGTTGTTCTGTTGGCTCTTGTCCAGCCAGAAGCTCTTAGACACGGGCTCTGCAACACGAGATTAGGGGAAGGAGATTAACATTTGCAGTCCTGCCCGTTTACATCAAAGGCGCTGCCCACTGGACCTTGTTCCCAAAGCCTGAAGGTTAAACTAGGAATTAAAGTAATGCCTAATGGACAGGTTATAAAGATCCTACTTCCTGTTAGTTGGGGTTTTTGAACACATTACAGTGGCTGAAAATCTACACCAGCTACGTAAACGGAAATGCACGGATACAGGTGTTTCCTGTGGGTAGCTTTGTGTTCTATTATGCTGTCACCTGAGGGTATTTTTTGTTTGTTTTGCTTTTAAGTATTGTTTTAGTTGCCTAAAAATTACCTTAACTTCATACTACAAGACTGTATTTATCAAATCAGAATTACTCGGTACGAATTTGAATAATGTCTCAAATACCTCATTTTGTCCAACAGTCTATGCTGTGGACTTGCTTTTGAGATCTAACCCCAAGGTATTTTTAAATTCTCATAATGTCAAGAAGAATCTTGAAATCAGGATCCTAAATAATGATATGTTAGAATACTATCAGGTATTTGCCCCAGGGGCTGGGATGGTAGAATGTGGCAAAAGAACAAGAGGCAGGGAAGGGGGGGAAAAACAGAGATGAGAAGAGGCTAGTTTGACAAGTTAACATAGGCAAAAAGTTGATGTCTGAAGTAGCAAAGAGGCATTGTTATGAAATTAGTTGCACATTAAAACTAAACATTCCAGAGAACTATTAAAAACATGAATAATTCAGATTTTGAATTTTGAAAACTAGGCATAAAATCTTACAGTAGCCTACATTAGAAAGTTTTCAGGGTTTTGCATATAAGTGTTCACTTTGTGTCGAAGCTGCATCTCTGAAAATGCAGAGGAAGTGAAATCTCAAAACTTAAATATATTAATGCGAAAAAGAAAATAAAAATCTGATTTTTTGAAATTTTACTTGCATTATGTGGTAAGGATGATTTTAAAAATATAATTTTCTTTTTACTTTGCTCCTCATTTCTAATTGTAAAACACGCGATTCATATTAGTATTTTTTGTTTTAATCTTCACGCACTCTTCCAAGTTTAAACATAATTTCATCTTCTCTCTTAAGGGTGGACCTATTCCATCTGTTTTCGCAGTTATTTATAGAATTTACCGTCAAAGAAGTTCTGCTGCTGTTTCTTTGGCAGTCTGCCAGCATCTTACCAAATTTGGGGAAGTGATGGAATGACATTTCATTGTGTCATATCTGTGTAGGCTTTTTCTGGATGTTGTTTGACAGAATCTGTAACTAAGTGATTTTTAGAGTTAAGAATAAGATACTGTAATACTTTAAAGGAGTATTTTTCACTCATTGAATTAAATTACTTTTGACAGTCCTGTTTTGCTTCACTTTATATAAGGAATTGTTTCTAAGAGAGGTTAAAAAGTTATAAAAGTGTGGTACTGACCCAGCAAGAAAAAAAAAAAAAGATTTAAGGTTCTCTTTTGGGTTGTCAAGCTCATAATCTTGTTTTCCTCATTCCTTTTTACCTTTTCCTTCTCTTTCATGTCATACGGATAAATTTAGAATTTCACTTTATTATCAGCAGCAAAAAGCCCTTGGCTGGCACAGACTTCCTACTATCCAAGATTTTGGGGGAGAAAGAGGGGAAGTTTGCTTGCATTTAGGAAGGAAATATTTTAAAATTACCATTGGCAATTATGACTATTTCCTATCAAGCTAAATCATTTTTATGTTGAATTCATATAATAAGAAGTCTGAGTTGCAAATGTAAGTATCAGCATGTAAGATGTATGTGTATTTGTAACATAATTTCAGGAAACATTTGTGTTTGTATATGGATAGTTAATAGATTCTGTCCTTGCGGATCTGTTTTCAAGAGAGATTATCAGTATATATGGAATTTTAAATAAGTTCCTGTGATGCAGCTATTCTGTGTGATATTCCTGTTTGAAGGAGTCCTACTGCTTAGTCACAATGCAACATTCAAAGAAATTGTAGTTGTAACTGAAATCTGAACATCAAAATGGACATTTATGCTTGTTCTCCACATCCTTGCTGTTGTACTTGCTGTTGTAGGGGAGATTTTCAGAAGTCTTTGCTTAACTCATCACACTTTCTACTCTTTTATTATTATTATTTTAAATATTCACTCAGGGTAAGTAATGATTTTGAAAGCTGTGGAGAAACTGATATATAAATGTTGCAGATCAGAATGTGGAGTCACATTCCAGCTTTCTAATTTTTTTTCATGCTTCATGAGAAACATTTAACATCACAATATTATTTTTATGATCTTGATCTAGTATAAAATCTATTTTGTAATAAGGATGTGACAAGTAATTGACTACATAATGCTTACAGGTATGTGCACTACATATAAATGTGTTGACGTTCTTTTATGTTCATGAAATAAAAGTAAATGTCATCTCTTTTCTTTTAAGGAAATGATCATCGACAAAGTTAATGGGCAGATTGTCCCTCGGTACTTAATATATGACATTATTAAATTTAACGTAAGTACTTTTTCAGTTTTACTGCAGTTGTCAGTTATGATTCATATTTCTATTTTCATTTTAGTTGGATAATTAAGAAAGTGATAGAAGTCTAAATACCAAAAGTGTTTGAGTGTTGTGTAGCTTGATAACAAGCAACACATCAGAATTAAGATTGAAAGCAGTGGTTTCTTTCTACCTGCTCAAGAAAAAGTGGTGATTTGAAAAGGTCTGCTAAACACTCTTTTAAAAAACAGTCTGTTCCTAGAGTATGCTTTGAGTGTATTTGAACATAGTTTAGGTTTCAGGAATAATAAATTGAGACTTTTTTCCCAATGTAAACCTGACTATTAGATAATCAACTCAGTTACAGTCTGGGCACAATTTAAAATTCTGAAATTTTTTGCCTTCCAGAGAAGCGCAAAAGCTTCATACAGATGTAGTTGTCCTATTTTCTCATATTTTGACTGGAATCTATAAGAAGGAGGAACAAGTTTTTGGCATTATTTTATAGAATGAAGCTGTTATTACCAAAATCAGTGCATAAGCCACTACATGAGCATGGAATTATCTCTCTGAAATGGGTGGTTTCTTATCAAGGTTTCCAGTAGATGAACCCATATTGCAATAGCAACAATTGTCTTTTATGTAGATAGGCAAATTGAGGGGGGATGGAGTAGTTGACTCTAAGTAGTGTAAATCTTCACAGAGCAATCACAGTGCTTCTGGATAGGTTACTCCATCACCTCTTTAGAATAAAACATGCCAGAGCCTTGAGGTCACTTTCCGACCTTTACTGTGTTTGAAAGTTGCTTTAAAGAAAGGCTGTCCTTCAGTCCCTTCCTCTGAATTGTTTATTCCGGTTACTTTCTCCCCCGAACTATATAATGAATTTAAAGTGGATGTGGGGTCTTAGAGCATGGTTTCCTAACTTATGTAAAGCAATAACAATGAAGAAGTGTTTCACTCGTCAACTCTCAATAAATCGTCTAGTGAAGAGATGTTTATGTCAAAGTCAGAGAAAGTGCCCTTTAGGAAGGATTAATTTAACCATATATGTTTCTTAAATTATTTAAAATAATTTTGAGAGAACTGAATGTGTTAAATTAAGCCACTAAAGCTGTGGCTAAATACTCCATGGAATAACACTACAGTATCTATTAATGTTTCTGGAAATACGGAATTATTGTTCTAGTCTTCCTGACAGGACAAACAAGACTACTAAGACTCAGTGCGTTTCTGGATTCTTTAGCTTTTGGTGACTCTTCCAGGCTTCAGGAAGGTGCTAATCAGCTTGCATTGGTCATGCAATGTAAGGGAGAATTGCAGAATTCGGTATTTGAAAAACACTATTCCAAGCAGTATAGTCATCCTGTGAATTAGAACAGCTACTGTTTATATCATTCCAGTTATCTGCTTTTAAAAGTAATACTGTGGGTCCATGATAATTTAGAAATACAAATTTACTGTTAATGCATTACAATTGCTCAGTCGTGATGAACATTTTTTTAACCTCTTCTGAAGAATAGGTGGTAGTTTCCTGGATCTTTCCATGGTTTAGACTTTTTAATAAGCAAAAGGTGTTTGTAGAATTATGAAAAGTATGATCTTCTATAATAATACCTGGGCTTTCATTTGTCCTTGACACTTTTTCATGTGTCCTGCCATTGTCCACCTGCCATTATTTTCTTTCATGTCATTAGAGTTGTTGTCTCTGATCTTACTCTGTCTAGTCCATTATTCACTGCTATTTCTCTCTCTTTGAAAAATGAAAGTAAAGTAAGAAGGGAAGAGTTTCCCTCTTTAGGGTATGCATACCCTGCCTTAGAAAAATAAAACTCATAAGCATTTTGATGGAACCTTTTTGGGGAATGAGGTGGTTGTTATAGACCGTCATATATAGCAACGTACACAGTCTTGGCTTGTTAAAGTTCTGCTGGACAAGCAGAAGTCTTTCAGATGATTGCTAAGGTTTGAAGAAAAGGGTTGTAAATGCTGCTCTTTTTTTTTCCCAAGTTGTCCTCCCCATGTGAGAGAGCAATACAACTTTAATTCCAAGGACAAATTAAGATAGTATGTTAGTACAAACAGGGCTGCAGCTGCAAGAAGTCATTAGCAGTGGTCCTTCTAGACAGATTAAAAAGCACAGCGGCTTTTAGGTTAATTTTAGAAGCTTAATTACAAAACTGGGCAAACGAGGATATTTGGCTTGGCAAGAAGTGCTCAACAGAATTTTATCAGTAAGAGAGGTAGGTGTATTGAAAACCTGTAGTTGGCAAAATGGGAAAAGTTCTTTGTTCAAGTTGCGTAGGTTAGATTGTGTAATTCAGCATTTTTGTAGTAAGCTTCAAATTAAATAATTACATAAAGCTGGGAAAGGGGGGAAGAAAAAAACAAAACCAGCTGTATGATGTCCTCAAAAATTCCACATTGTTCTTTTGATCTTGATAGTAGTTGCATCTTCTGAAGGTGAATGGTGGAGTTACTGAAGTGGCTGGCCACTGTAAATGAAGTGATTTCCAGCCTGCCCTCTACCTCAGCTTCTCTCCTGATAAACAATCTACAAAATCACGTTACGAAGAAATGATGATTGGGGTCCTAAAAAATGCCACTGTTGCAGGGCTTGCCCATGCTGGGCCTTGTATTAGTCTGTTGCATTAGCAACATTTGGGTCTTTGAGTTATGCTCTGGCCTACCTGACACCTACGTGTCACCATATAAGTGACAAGCCTGAATGATGGTTTGAAAATGCTAAATTCAAAAGCAGAGCATGCTTTTGAGAGGAGCAAAAGCTACTCTGGGTGGAAAGCTATAAGCATATTCAGTGCACAGCACAAGTTTAATATTGATTTGAACGGAGAGGAAGCGAGAATGCACACGGCCAACGTGCAAGTAGAAGGAAAACTGAACTTTGGTATTTAGGGGCCAAAGGCATATCTTTAAGAAAAAAAGCAAGATTCAGAAAATGCACTAATATTTAAAATGCCAGTACTTTAGAGTGTGTTGTTTGTCCTATGAAGTGTCATTTTAGATCACTGTAAGCAAAGCCGATGTGTCGCTCTGGGAGCCAAGCTCGCCCTTACCCTTTCCGAGCAGTGAGTCAGCAGACTCTGCTGTTAGAGATGCCTCTGTGAGAATGTGAGGATGAACCTCACCCACAAGCACCTTTGCCTGCTCAGCCAAAGCCGCTGAATGATGCGCAGGCACCAGGGCAGGGAGAGCGAGGCACCCCCGGGCCCAGGCAGCGCTGCTGCGGCGTGGCCGGGGCTGACACGGAGGGCGGCCCGAGGTCCGTGGTGCAAGAGCAGCCCCAGGGAGGCGACGAGCAGAG